CTCTCGCTCGCTCTCTCTCCCCTCTCGTGAGGCAGAATTTCCTTCGATTGGCCCTGCACGAGCTTCAGCTTCCAGACCCGTTCTTCGCGCGTCTGGTTGCGGATGGATGGCGCCAAGAACTATTTCAACGTACTGGTGAATGGCTGATGCTTCTCCGCATTTCTCCGCAGCGACACTGTAGGACTGAGTCTCCAGCGCCGGGCAAGACACGAAAGACACGAGGCCTGCTGCTGGTGCTGAAGACTTATGCGGACCTTCGAGACTACCGCTTGGACATTTCGCAGCCGCGAGCCGCGGGATCTCCAGTCTCCGTGGAGGACCGGGTGCACCATGGCCTCTTGAAATGCATGCCATGCCTGCCTTGACATGTTGCGAAGGTGCAAAAGCGCACGGAGGCACGTCTCGCTTGCAGCGTTTTTTGTTGACAAGTGTTGACGGAAAGAGTGCGTCCGAAGGCCAACAAATCTCTTGAATTGCAGCGCTCAGTCTGCGTCGCATTGGGAAACTTCCGCAAACGTTGAATTTGAGTCGTCAGCCCGACATGTGAATCGCCTGTGTGGTGCAAGAAGCAGTGCTGAACTGGTAGGCAGTCATTGGGAGCTTGTTTCAGAAGCCGACCGGCCTGGTCGTGCTACATGGCATCATTGCGGACAGCGAGTTGGAGGAGCTGCCCCCTGACGAGGTCCCGACCGTGGGAGCTGAGATGAGAGAGGAGATGGCATGCTGGTATAGGGCGTCGTGGAGCCTCGCGGAGCCACAGGTGTCGCGGCGACTGGAGTTCTTGGGAGACTCGGAGACGAGCGGATTTGGCAACCAAGGGCCCAGCCAACCGGGCATGCCAGGAGCTCAAAGTAACGGATTCTGTCGAGGATTGTCGAGGTGTCACAGGAGGCTTTGTGCCCCTTCAGTAAAGGAATCAGGAGGATCTTTTGTTTGTGATCCGCAACTTGAGCACGATTTGCTTCGCCGGGAGCTCGAAAGCTTTGCATGCCTCGCTATGTCATGCTATGACACCAGAGAAACGGCAGAGCCGTGATGCGTCGAATCGGCTTGAAGCTCCGTAAGAGCTTCTTGCTCCGTTGCAATCCGGGTTCCTCGCGTGCTCAGCCTGAGTCGGGACGAAGGTGAGGCAAGAGGCTTCGATCCGATGGGCCCTTCCAGTTCAGAGAGTCGGCGTATGCAGACCACAGGACTCGTCTCCGCGCTCTCTGCGGCTTGGCGGAGTCAGACGTGAGACACATCTGTCACACATGAAGGGCTCGCGATTGCGCACTTAGCCTAGATGCACGCTGCGCATCAAGATGCCAACCAAGCCTGGCCAGCGCTGGTCGCAGGAGATCCGAGCGCGAAAATGTTCCCCCTGCCCTCTTTCTGCCTTCCCAGAGAGGAGCACTGAAAGCAGACTTCCACAACATCGCCTGGAGTGGCGCAGGTGTCGCACGGGCCTCTGCCCAACTGCCGCTCTCCCTTTTGCTCTCTGCGGCCTTTCCCTGGGCCTCATGCTCTGCTGCATTTGCACATCTGGGGCCGTGTGCCGAAGGTTTGGAACGCTCCTGGCTGCTCAGCAGAAGTCCCCTTCAAGGTTCGTGGTGCCGGCTGACCTCGCTGTGGCACTTGCCGCTCTTGTGCAGGACCTCTACCCAAGAGTCCTGGGGACGAAAGTGACACTCGCCAAGACAGGAGGTTAACAGCTCTCGGACCATTTGACTTACAGTAGCTTTCGAACGCCCAGGGAGCCCAGCATCAAGAAGTCTGGCGACTGGTGTCCAGAAGCCACGGTGGTGTACCTCGGCGGGAACGACTGGTGGTCTCTCTCTTCACGAGGTCGGCCGACTTCAGCAGACTTCAGCCCTCCCTTCTTCGCCGAACACTGCAGGTGACGATGCCCTCATCGATGGCTTGCGAGAGTTCCTCACGCGCCTGCGTGCTTACAGAGGCGGCTTCCGGCTTCGGATGCGACAAGTGAGAAGCAGCTGGCAGATGCTGGCAGATGCTGGCAGGACCAGAGGTTCCTATTTGCATTCTGCTGCCATCGCCAACTTCGGTCTGCGTGTCTCGGCTATTTGGCATCCCCAGCAGGCTCGTGAGACACCGCAAGGCAAGGCATGTGGCTTTGGCCGCCACCGCGACAACACACAGCAATTGACGGAGATTGGGCCTGTGTTAGCTGCTGGGGTTGGGCTGAATCTACGGAGGCATGCATTGGCAGCTTGCCAGATCAGGCGGCTCGCTTCGAATATGAGAAGGATTCGTTGCGCGTGTTTGCTGCCCTGGAATCCGAGCAGAGAGGCGAGCTTTGCAGATGACATGTCACGCTGCTGGCCGGGAACTCGAGGGAGGGGGGGCGTTTGTGGCTGAGCTGGGGCCCGAGTCCTGCGCCGCGACCGCCAAGAGGCGTGCAGCTGCTCAGCTGGTTAGTGACGAGAAGGCACGGCCAGTGCTTCGGTGCAGTTTGAAGGGCTCCGTAACTTCTCGCAAATAGCCAGATCTTCCTGGATGTGATTGAGCCCGACCCCCCTTGCTCGCTATCAAATCCCGGAGACTGGGGACAAATGGGGCCCCAGACTTAGTTGCAGGAATGCGGGCTGCTGCTTCTTGCATTGCATCCGCCTGGGTGTGCTTTGCAGGCATTGGTCCGTGGAGGCCAACGGCTGATGTTGTTGTGCTCTTCTTGTCTCCCCTAGTCATGCGCTTCTGGACCCTGCCGGCAGGGGAACAGGAAGTGGGCTGCAGCCGTGGTTCCCGTTCTCCAGGCACGACTAGCTTCGACGACTTTCTGAGATGATGAAAGGGAAAAGGAGAGTCAACAACTTAGCATTGCATTGGCCGACTAGCATGGCTCTGAGGCTTGCAGCGACTTGCATGGCTCTCCTGTTGCCAGCACACGCAGCGCTGGCTCAGATGGGGGGGGCCTTGGGGCTCCTCGGCCGCGCGGCGGCGCCATGCAAGTTCTCGTTCAACGCCTCGAGGGAGTGCCGGTCGGGACAGCGCGGAGTCCGCTTCAGAGAATTTCAGAGAGCCTCCCTCTCGTCTCTTTGTGCAGGAGCTACCTAAGCATCGGCTGCGATGGGCAGAGGATTCTAAGGTCGGTCGAGCTTCTGCACGCACAGAGACATGGGGCACGGCGGGAGGCGATTAGAAGCCGGCCGAAGCTTCTCGATTCCTGGCGCGGAGATCGGAGCCTTGAAGGTAGAGGCATGCGAGAGTCCTTTCTTTCAGGTTGGGGGTGGCTCGCGCTTTAGTGAGGTGCTGCAGAGCATGGGCAGCGGCTACGTGGTGAAGCAGCCCGTGCCTCTGCCACCTCTGCCTAACTAAGTGCTCTCAGCCGGAGAAGTGAAAAAAAGTCAATGAGACAAGGCCTGGGCGGCAGGCTTGCAGCTTGCCGCGAGCTTGGCGCTGTGAGAGTATAAAGAGCACCACATGTCCACCCTGATGTCCATGTCTTCGCTTAAGCCATGAAAGTGAAGATCCATCTGTCTGTATAAAGTCAGTTTCTGTAGGATAGAAAGCGTACATTACATCTGGGATGGTCTTCGAGGGCTCCTCGAGTAGTCCTGTCGCGTAATGGTCTTACCGTGGTCATTGCGCCGCCAAGTGTCGGGATGGTGTAAATCTGGTATGATCTATATAGTCATTCTCCTTCTGGTATCTTTGTCTGACCAAGGCCCGTACAAAAAATCAAGCCTCGCAGCGCCTTTCCGAGGTCCTTCCTCCCTGAGGCAGATAGGGCCATGAAGAACACGAAGATGCTGCTGGAGCTGGAACTGATGCCTCAGTCGTCAATCGCTCAGCTTGCAGAATGCTCCAGGAAAAAATTTGCAGACGGCTTGAAACGCGTTTAGATAACTTCTCATATCTGGTTTTCTTCTCATCAGTCGTGCTTGTCATTCCCAGCATTCCCACCATCAAGATCATAGATCATCACCACTATAGTGGCAGTTCCGTCGTCATGAATGATTCTGTTTTCGTGCCTCTGCATCAGCGTGTTTGTTGCCATTGGTTTCTTTACTGGATTGAATGTTGGGAGGGGGCTGGGAGAGTACACACGAGGATCGTGACCGGAACGTTCGATTCATGTTGGGCGACTTGCGCATTTTGTTCGTTCGCCAAATGCACGGAAAGACCTCGCGCTGAGTTTGCTATCGGATAACAGAGTCGGCCTCTTCAACCCTTCATGAGGATGATGCTCAGTGATTTTACCTAGTAGTCACTGGAGGTATAACACGCTGAGAGGCCACCTGCAATCTTGAGAAGCCTTTCTGCTAGGCCACAGCACAGCCTGTGAAGATACTGCCAAGGCCTGCAGAGGCTTCAAGTAAAGCTCCCAACCAAGAGGACTTTCTGAGCAATATTGCTTCTGATGTCACGCCCACAGCCTGGCGCAGAGGAGAATAGCTTTTACTTGCAGAGACACAAGCTGTCGGAGTACTTCAAGGCCAGTTTGGAAGCCAGTGCCGCAAACCCAGCTCCTGTGCAGCCAGGCGCTGCTTTCTGCCATGCTACGCTGGAAGCCGTGGCATGCTGAGATCTCCGACAGAGCTCAAGCGGCCCTAAGCTTCAGTCAGCAAGGGCGTATGCTGCTAACGCTACCATAGGGGTCGGAACATTCTCGCATGCTTTCGGTATCTTTCGGTGCTGTGTCACAGGTCTGATCCCTATGCCTGGATGCTGGGACAGACACTCCGACGCGGTTTTCATGTGCATTTGCACCCGTATTGCGCATTGCAGACGTGCGTCAACAATTTCCAACAGCAGCGGCGGAGACTTCTCACTGCAGCTGCACCATGCCTGAAGCCATGAACTGCGTCGGAGCTTTGTACCGTGTGTCGTAACGACATAGCCTCTTGCACGCCTGCGCCGAAAAGCAGACAAGCGCCACTCGCATGAAGGGTCGAAGCGTTGATACCACCACAGGGACTGCAGCCACGGCTTGGCAAACGGAAGTGAATCGGACAGGTGAAGCTGTGCTCAGGGTAGTGCTTGCCGAGGGTCATCGATGTGAGGTTCCGACAGCAGAGGAAGCATCAGGAAGACAGCTCGAAGCATGTGCAAGATGTGCCGTGTGCAGTGTCGGCCAGGCTGCAAGGCAAGATCATCGCCTCAGCTCCTGCCGAGATTTCAAGAATAAGGCGGGGAGTTTCTGTTTTTGGCTCCATGCTGGGTCTAAGAGAGCGCGTGTCCCTGAAGGCGTGTTCCTTCCTTCAAAGGTGGTGCCTGTGTCATCACAGGTCCCAGCGGTGTTGGCAA